TGCTATAGTTTTATACACTAGAGCCTTCTTTTTTTCTCTGACTTCTTTGTTTTGCTTTGCTTTGATTTCTTGTTTTGTTTTGTTTTGTTTTTTGTCCTCTACTAGTGTCCTTAGATTTCTCTCCAAAACTCCTTAAATACATTATGTGTCTGGCAGCAATCTGAGTGGTAAACTACTGTTGCTATACTGGAGTCTTGTTGATGTGGTGGTACTATCAGAGTGGAGAAGACATCTATCATCTTATTTGTCTTCAGTTTCAAGGGGCCTGAATCACTCAGGAGTCTTTAACTTTCAAGTGACCTCCACCCTCACTCAGCCTTTACGCAATCTGTCAGTGAGTAAACAAGTGTCCCCACCACTTACTGGTCCCTAAACCAGTGCCAGCTATCATTCTCTGTATTCTCCTCCCTCCCCATTTTGAGGATCAGAGTTTTCCCTTAATATCAACTTTCTGATTACTTTTATTTCCGTGATAAAGATGGAGTGGCACCTTTAGAACACTATTAATGCTGTAGCAGAAACCAGAAGTCTTGATAAGTAATTTTTCAATTTTTACATTGCTATATGGTTTTTTTTGTCTTTTCTGGTAGGAGGAGGTTTTTTTAATTTTTTTATTAATTTTAATGAGAAAGAAATAGCAATAAGAATTCTCCAAATACAGCTTCTCTAACAGTAATGAAACTCCCATCTCTGACAAAACAAAAAAGGGGGATAAAAATGAAAGACCATTTTTAGTGAAAAAAATATATGTACATACAAAATGGAATAGATATACAGCTATTGTCTCTTAGTGCAATGAGAAGAAAGATTTGTAACTTTGTACTAATATTGTTTAGATATGTAATCACGTCTGTATGTTGTACTGTGAATAACTACTATGAAGACAACCATATGCAATGTATTAATTATTGTAACTTTCCTACTAACCTGTTTTAAAACTGTCACATTGTTGTATATTCTATTTGCCATCTCACAACAATACTATTACCTACTACTTTATAAAGTATGTTTAAAATGAAGTATTATTCAGGAATAAAGAAGGATGAAATTATGTCTTTTGTGGGAAACTGAATGGAACTGGAAATCATTAGATTAAGATCCAGAAATGCAAGTATGTACACTTTCCTTAATCTGAAATCAATCAATTAATCAATAAATAAATGAATGAGTAAATAAGACATCAAAGCAGAAAGGAAGGAAATGAGAGATAGATAGAGGAGAGATGGATTGGAAGATTTGAAAAAAGAATTGAAATGTGTTATGTTCATGTACCAACCAAATTACTCTACTCTGAAAAAAAAGAGATAAAAGAGGATTTTAGAAAATGGAAAGATATTCCTTGCTCCTGGATAGGAAAAGCCAACAATGTGAAAATGGCCATACTCCCAAAATTGTTATACAGATTCAATGAAATCTCAATTAAAATATTACTGGTATGCCTCACAGATCTAAAGAAAACATTCCTAAAATTCATCTGGAACTAGAAGAGACTTAGAGTAGCAAAATCAATCCTGGGTAACAAAGGAAAGGCAGGAGGCATCACTGATGCCTGACTTGAAATGATGTAAGCTGATGTAGGATGACCTGAAATTATACTACAAATCTACTGTAATAAAAATCAGCATGGTACTGGCAAGAGATATACCTGAAAATCAATGGAGCAGATTAGAAGATTCAGACACAACTATAAACATACTCAGCTACCTTATCTTTGACAAAGAGGTCAAACATGTTCACTGGAAGAAAGACAGCCTCTTTAATAAATGGTGCTGGGAAAACTGGCTTTCCACATGCTGCAGACTAAAATTAGACTATGTCTACCACCGTGCACAAACTACAGTCAAAATGGATCAAAGATTTAAGTATCAAAACAGAAACACTAAATGTTCTTGAGGAGAAAGTAGGTAGAAATCTTGAAGACATGGGGCAGGTAGAGAGTTCATGAAGAAAACCAAACCTCATGAGAAATATTCAAATAAGCAACAACTGGGATCTCATCTTTTTAAAATGTTTCTTCACATTAAAAGAAATCTCCAACAGAATACAAAGAAAACCCATGAGCTAGGAAAAAAAATTAGCTGATTTTCCTATGGATAAAGGACTTCTATTGGCAGTAACAGGGATTGAACTTGAATCCTTGTGCTTGCTAGGCAGTTGCTTATGCTACTGAACAATAACCCCAGCCCCAACAAAGGACTTCTTTCTTGAACATATAATTTTTTTAATTAGGCCCCCAAAACTCAAAGACCCAATCCAAAAATGAGCATCTGAGATAAATGTACACTTCACAGATGAGGAAATACAAATGGACACTAAATATGTGAAAAAATGTCCAACATCATTGGTTATTCAAGAAATGCAAAATAAAACAACACAGATTCCATCTCATCCCAGAAATAATGGTTATCATCAAAAAGTCAACTGATAAATGAAAAGGCTGTGGGGAAAAGGAATATTTTTCCACTGTTAGTGAGAGTGTAAGCTGGTACAACCAATATGGAAAACAGTGTGGGGATTCTGAGAAAAGCTAGGATTGGAGGTCCCATTCAAGTCAGCTATTCCCCTCCTGGGTATTTTTCCAGAAGAACTGAAAACATGATACCACAGTGATATATGTGCACCCATGTTTATCGCAACACAATTTTTTAAGGTTAAACCTTGAAAACAACCCAAATGCCCATCAGCTGAGAAGTGCATTAAAAAGATGTGGCATTTTTACATAAGAGTATTTCTCAACTATGGAAAATATAAACTTGAGGCTTTTATAGGTAAATGGATGCAACTAGAGACCATACTCATAAGTGAAATAAATCACACCCTCATATGCAAACATCATATTGTCTCACTAGTGTAAGAACCTGAAAGATTAAATAAAATCTGAAAGGTACAATAGATACTGTAAAAGGTAAAGAGTTTGTTCAAAGGGAAGGAACAAGACCCAGTCCTAGCCCAGGTCCAGTGAGTGTGTGGGAGAGCTTCTGGCTACCATGCGCCGGCGGGACCTATTACTGGTCCCAGCCCAGGCGCAGCATGTGTGAGACCCTCTTCCATCCTGCTGGGCGCCCCCTGCCATTCCGCAGAATGTCCCCCACCCTGCTCGCTGAGTAGGAATTTCTGCTGTGTTTCAGGATCCTCCAGGCCCAGTCCTAGCCCAAGCCCAATCTGCACCTGAACTTCAGTACATGCTAAGGTTATAACTACAACGAAGATCTACAACAAAGGTCAGAAGACAGTGCTACACAAAATGACGAGAAGGAACAAAATGCAACCTCAGAACCCAAGCCCACCTGTAACAAGTGTAGAGGACACTAACACAGAACAAATTGGGAATCACACAGCTGAAAGCAATGAATCAACAGCTTCTGAAATAAAGAAACACCTGCAGAAAAGTATAGAGGAACTCAGATTGGAAATAAAAAAAGAAATTCTTTTTTTTTTTGACAAGAAAAATTAAGGTTTATTGAAAGGAATAGTTAATCTTTAATTGTTCGACCAATCTTGCAAACTTATATCTTATAATCTGAGCAACAAATTTGATGATAACAATACGTAAAACAACAGCTATTGTCAATTTTCTATTCTTGTTCTGAAATTCTATACCATTTGCACTGTTGTATGTTGCTTTGTTTCTGCCTTTTTTTATTTGCTTTTGTTTTTTTTTCTCTTTAAAATAAAAAAAGTTTAATTGCCTAGCAGTGAAAAAAAAAAAGTGATACTACCAGTAACACTCACATGTGATAAATACATTTTTTTACCTTTTGAAATGTAGATTTTTTATATTTGCTACAAATAGAACTATATATACTTCAGTCAAACAGAGCTATCATGTTTAAAATCAATGAAATCCTTACATTAAAAAGTATAGTAAATATTTAAAAGAAATGAAACCTTAACATAAATATAATTTGTTAATGCTGTTTAATGCTTCATGTGTAGATCTGTTAGCTAAATTGAATCAAACTTGCAAAGAGTTCAGCAAATTTATTCCTATGAAATTGTGTTCTACTATTCTAAAAAGAATGAAATTAATTTCTAAGTTGAAAGAACATTTGTATAGTTGAACTGGAACCAGCTGTTTTCTAAGCTACATATGGCCGTTTTGACAGTGTTTGCTCTTTTTAAGTATTTCATCATTATGTGGAAGTCATAAATTTTACTGTGCCACCCAAGAAAAACTAAAATGATAAACTTGAGTCATCTGTAGAAAAATGGATGCACCTGAGACCATAACGTTAAGTGAACTAAACAGACTCATAAAAAAACTGCATATTTTCTCTTATATGAGGAACTCAATATATAATTAAAGTACAAAGTAAAAGATAGATGAGGAAAAAAAGAGAAAAAAAATCGTTATCCAGCATTAACAATGTATCTAAAAGTGTGCCTTGATTTATAATTGTCTTATGTATCTTTTATGTTTTCTGACCCCTGGTAAACACATGAATCTGATGCTGGCAAAACAAGTGCTGGAGGGAAGGGGAAAAATAAAGAACTGAGATGTGTTATGCACATGTACAAATTCTCTATAATGAATGTAACTACTATGTACTACAAGTATGTACTGATAAAAGGATTTTCTTTAATATAGCAAAGACCCATTACCAGTTTTCTCAGTGTGTTTTGGGTTTTGTTTACAGTACTGAAGTCTGAAAATCAAAAATTTGTGCATACCCCATGTAATTTCTAAATTTCAGATAAAGGCAAAGTACAAGCTAATTATATATAGATTGCATCAAAATAAAAAGTATCATTTAAAAAAAAGCAAACATTAAACAAGCTAAATGAATTACCAGTAATGACCAATAATTAACAATCATACAAATGGCCTGATTTCCTAGGTAGATGCTAAATTACAATTCCTCAAATGCTATACTGTACATTGAAAGTACAGTGTATGTCCCAAAGAAATACTGTTGCATACAGTACTAATTCATGCATTTCATAAAGCTCCCATTCAGCCCCACCTAGATGCTTAGGTTGAGTACTTCTCCACTGCTCAGCTATTTAAGACAAGAGCAGTTACCTGGTAACGCGGTGATAAAATCCCACTGCAACATGGGCTTCAGGTAAGAGTTAATATGTCCATGCTGGTAATGACACATTCGTGAAATAAGATGCTCCACAAATTCCACTTGATCTGATTCAGACCACTGGTCAAAATATTTAATACACAAGTCCTTCTCTTTTTGATAGTTTCCTTCTGATGGTCTCTTTCTGAAGACAATCACAGATGACGTTCCATTACTTATCTGCCAAAGAGTATTTTTCTTTGGGGACTCATCTTCATTTTGATCTTCCATAACTGAAGTGTTCTGGAAAATATTTTGTACTTCAGATCCACCAATCCAGAATGAATGGGAGTATTCCCTTTCAGACTAGTCTGAGAAAAGACAGCAGTCAAGCATCTTCCAAGATTCTTTCCGTTTATTGTATCCAGCTTTCTTCAACAAAATTCCAAACATGCACTTCGGTAACATAAGCTCGATGGTCTTGTCCTCAATCACCGAGTCGGGCTCCATGGCGGCCCCAGCGGCCCCGCCTTGCTCTCCCCACGCAGCAGCGAACGGCCCGGGCAGAAGAGGCGACAGCGGAGGCGGCAGAGGAGGAGGTGGCTCTCGCGCCCACTCTAGCTGCCAGCCCGCCCGGGCCGCCGGCAGCTCCGCCCTCCCCCTCGGCGAACCAAAAAAAAGAAATTCTTGAATTAATAACATCTGCAGTAAAGAATCAAATGCAGAAACATGGAGGAAACCCAGTGACCAACCCAGAACAAGTATGGAGGACACTAGCTAGGCTCAAATGCATGAATTAAGAGCGTCGATAGTAAATAAGCAACAGCAGAAAATTATAGAGGAACTAAGAGCACAACTCTTTTCTGAAATAAAAAAAGAATTCTCAGAACTCATAGCATCTGAAGTAAAGAAGCAAATACAGAAATATAGGGAGGAAACACAATCTGAAAAAAACACTTCAGTAAAAGAATTTATAACTGCTTCTAAAGAAGATATTCATAAAAAAATACAGGAGATTAGAAAAATGACGGAATCCTTAAATGAGCAATACAGGAAAGAAATAGATTGCATGTACCAGAGTCAAAGAGATAGAGAGGAAATTAAAATCTCAATCACAAGCTTGCAAAACCGTTTAAGTGAA